ATCTGCTCTCCAGCCAGTGGAACCAACACTGGGCTGAGGTGAATAGAGACTGACATAACCTGCTGTGTGGCCTTAGGGAAGTCGCTGAACCTCTCTGGATGTCAGAGACCTTTAGCATTAACCCATGACTCCATTTTTCAAATCCTTTCCTACAAGTATAGGGATAAAGGGTGGTTTGATGAGGGCGCTCAGGTGGGGAGGAGAAAGTTTTCATGAATGGGGGAGCAAGGGGGAGTAGTAAAGAAAGGTAAACAGACACAAGAGAGGACAAACCAGCCACCTGACATCATCTCTGTGTTTGTGAGTGGGGAAGGGGACAATTTGGGTCAGGAGGAATTAACATGAACCCATTTTCAAGCTGGGAGACAGACAATGAGTCACATCCACAAGTACCTGCTTGCAAGCACTAAGTGAAGAGTGGGATGCTGTGGGGGTACCCGGTTTCTGTGGAGTTTAGGCTCCAGCAGGGGGGACTCATGTTGTATGAGTCCACTGAATGGAACGGAGGGACAGGAGGTAGGAAGGGGAAGCTGAAGGATGGGGAGCCTTCACTCTTCATAGTGCTCTCTGCCCGAAATTCATTCTGAGCAAGAGCCAGGGACCTGGGCTCCAGCCCTCCAGTCACTGTCCCTAGGAGCTGAGAAAAGACTTTCAAAATGTATGAGGAGAAACAAATGAACAGGAATTCAGTCCTTGAGATGACTGGGAGGGAGCGGGTAGGGAGGGAGAAGAACAGAGGGGCGGGAAAGAGAAAGAAAAAGAGAGAGAGAGACAGAGGACGAGGAGGAGGAGCACAAGGCGCTTGCCAGTTCCCCTGAGACCAGCACCTGGAAGATGGCGTGAGGCTAGGAGTCTATTGGGCGCAGGACGACAACGTGGCACTAAGCCCTTTTCAAAAGACTTTAAAAAAATCTCAAGGCCTCACCTAGATTTGGCACTAAAAAGAACAGTGTCCCTGCCACTGCCTACCTAAGGGATGACTGATATTATTTTATAGCGAGGCAGGGGTTCCTCATAAGGTCTGAAGACAGAGGGTGGAGAGACTTACCACTCTGTCTCACTCTTCATGAAGTACCTGGAACATTTTGATCTCATCCCTCTCCATGTCCCCCGCTGCCCAGAAAATCCAGGGAGCGAGGAGGGTGGTACTGGAAATGAGAACTGGGGCCTCTAGCCTGGCAAGCCCGGCCATCTTCTCAACCAACCTATTGCTTCACGAGGTAGAAGGCAGCCATCTGACCTTCAGCGACCCAGAGAAAATTTCCTTCATCAGCGAAGTCTTTCTTTTTATTAGAGAAAAGAACGATCTTGTCTTACTTAAGGACAGCGTATGTGTTTGCGTGCATGCGCACATGTGCTCGTCCATACCAGTATCCCAGTATCCGCGGGCCTACCTCTCACTTCCCAGTGGGACCAGTGTGCAGATTGCCAGCAATCTTCCAAGGAAAAAAATGGTGGAGGTGGGGAGGGAAAGGGGAAGCAGGGTACTATCTGGAATAAGTGAGTATCTTCTCTTTCCTCCTACCCCATGCTCATCCATGCAGCCCCAGGAGCTGCCCAGAACCTCCGTGCTAGCTCTGCTCAGCCTCACAGGACAGTAAGGTTTTTCACCAGCGATGGACTTCCCATTAGCTCACCTGGTTGCCCAAGGCACATTTCTGTACTCTTCCACAAACTCATCAAGCATGTGTAAGATGATTCTCATTGGAAGCTGACTACTTAAATCACACTGGATAAAAAGATATTCATATACACATTCTCTGACTGCCATGTCTCCCAGCCCACCGCAAAAAACCCCATATCCACTCAAACACACTTTCTCAAGAGCCACCTAGATCTATTAGAGAAGGCCTCTCAGCCTCTGGAAGAAAGCCTTTGTAGGCTGGGATCCAATCTTTTCTTCACTGAATGGTTATTCATATGTTAGATAAGGTGTTGAAATCTGGTCATTTGTCGTTCTTCCGAGTTGTCAAATCGACCCAAGGACATGTTGCTACCAAATGAAGGAAGAGGAGGAAGGCCTTCTCAATGTAAAGAGAATTGGGTGCACACCACCAGCTGGCCGATCCCTGGTCTTGACCTCCCTACCCCCAACAGTTTCGCTTTCTTTGAGGTGAGAAAGACAAATCTCAAAGTGGGACATTGCAGTTGGGGTTCTGACACAGGGAACCTGTTCACATTTACATCTGTTTAAGGACAATCACCTAGACAGGAAGGGGCCTGGGCTAAAGAGTTACCACATGGAAGAACTTTCTGGAAAACAGTTAAGTCTTTGGGTTAAAATTGTCTGGGGCTCTTGACAGTTCAAGGTTGGGTAATCTCTGATCTTCAAATCTTATAAGTCTTTTGCCCTTAATTTTTTTGGTCTCAGAATTCAGTTACAGTGTAATGTCTAAAACCAACAAGTTTGTTTAATTCGCAGTTCTTAAGAGGGACGGACTTGGATGTTGAGAAGAGTATGAACACCCACTACAAGTCTCTGGTGGGACAAGGGTCTGAAAAAGGAAGCTGCTGACTCAGAAGACGTGCCTCTCAGTCCTCTAATGAGAGAACAGGCGCCATCGGCTGGACTTTTTAACTCTCCAGCGGTTGGAAGCTGGAGCTGGGCTTTCACCAGGAATTGCCTCGACCTTGAAAGTGTTTCTTTGTTAAACAGGAATTCGTGTTGCATCAGAGTCTGTGATAAAAGTGTGTCGTGGGGCAGAGCGCTTATGCTGTGTGTGTGTGTGTGTGTGTGTGTGTGTGTGTGTGTGTTTGTTTTTAAGGTCGAAAAAGAAAAAAAAAAAAATTCAAGGATAGTCCCGGTGTCGAGTCAGGTGAGCGACTCAAGCTTTGAAACCGGTCACGCTCTGCCCTTTAATGTCTACGCCCTCCCTCCGACTGCTTCGGAGCAGACAATTCAATTGACTCCTTTTGTATTAGGTTTTATTGCTGTGAAACCCCTAGGGTCTCGATTTGCTCTGCGAAGAAACGTGCTCCCACTGAGTTGCCCTCCGAGGCAGTCCCTCCTGTGTCCCCATTTCTTTGTCTGGGAGGTTTAGTAAAAGAGGGGAGGCGAGACCCGCACCCCCACCCGCACCCGCACCCGCACCCGCACCCGCACCCGCACGGGAGTCAGGCTATCCCAGCGCAGCGTCTGGAACGCCTTGGGAACTAGACCACGTCGCCTTCCAATCCCACCCGCGCACTGTGCCAACTTTACAAGAGTCCTTGAAAGGTCCGGGGATGAGATACACAGACTCCCTGAACTGAACCCAGGCCAGAGGCCTGCTCACAGCCCTGCTCACGCCCCGAGTATGGGGATGGCGAAATGCACCAACCCGACGGCCCAGGCTGCTGGCAGTTTCTGCGCCCAAGCTCCGCAGGTCATTCGCTAACGCCGTCTGGCCAGCTGGGACGTACCCCTCGGACCTTTCATGGGTGCGCGATGACGCCGTGCACTGCCGCACCAGCCCTCCGGGACGCGAAGGCAGAGTTCAGCGCAGTACGCGGTGGGAAGCCCGCAAGCGCAGCGGGCCGCAGGTGCCCTTGGAGCCGCGTGCCTGGCAGGTACTCGCCTGAAGAACCGGCGGGGAGGAGCAGGAGGAGCCCGGGCCCGCGCCAATGGAGCCGCGTGCCGGGCAGGTACTCGCCTGAAGAACCCGCGGGGAGGAGCAGGAGGAGCCCGGGACCGCGCCGGCCCCGCCTCCTCTCTGCCCCCGGAGCTCCCACCGCTGAGAGCCTCCCCGGCCCCCGCGCTGCCGGCCGGGCCCCCGTGCCTCCTCCCCGCCGGCACCCCGCACGCGGTGATTGGCTGGCGCCGCAGGTCCCTGGCACGCGCCTGTGGATGTAGTTATAAGAATCCTCGCGTGCCGGCCCTCAGCTGCAGCAAGTCGGCCACAGCCCTCCCCAGCGCTGCGCGGGCGCCGCCAGCGCGCAACGGCCGCGGGCACTCCAGGGAGGTTCGGGGGGCGGGAAGCGGGCGGGCCGTCCCCATTGCCTCCCGCACAGGACCCGGGAGAGTCGGAGGGAGGAGGTTGCTAGACAAGCGAGAACTGCAACATCAAACTTCCAGAGAACGGCCTCAGCTCATCAGTTTCCCCCCTCGGGCCCGCGGCGGCGCAAAGCATGGACGCCGTGCTGCTAGAGCACTTCCCCGGGGGCCTGGATGCCTTCCCGTCACCGTACTTTGACGAGGAGGACTTCTTCACCGACCAGTCTTCGAGGGACCCTCTAGAGGACGGCGATGAGCTGCTGGCGGACGAGCGGGCCGAGGTGGAGTTCCTCAGCCACCAGCTGCACGAGTACTGCTACCGCGACGGGGCGTGCCTGCTGCTGCAGCCCGCGCCCTCCGCTGCCCCGCACGCGCTCGCCCCG